TCCATGCTCTTGAGATTGTGCTGGGAGACGCAGCAAACCTTCTGGCAATGGCACGTATTGATGACCCATCCTGGAGGAGTTGGACTGCCTGTCAACCTCTGTAGGGTCCAGGTAGCGCTGCATGCTAACAGTAGTGACAGCGACCCTAGCCAAATGCTAAACTGGTGAAAAAGAGTCAGAAAAGATGAGGGGATAAAATGTCAGTGGCCTCCACCTGTGAAACCATTCCTGTTCTGATGGTCGTCTCATTGTTGCTCCTCTAGTTCACCTGTTGGTAATTTTATTCACACCAAAGCAGCTGAAACTGATTAACCCCCCCCAACCCCCCCCTCCCTCTGCTGCTTACCTGACCAAATCAATATCACACAAGTTTAATTAACTTCATGCTATACTCTGATTACAAATGTTCCTTTAAACCTGGAAGGTCAAGGCATCAGTGGGACCCGTGGTCATTGGGGCCCTCGGGGCAGTGGCCCCCAAACTGGAGGAGTTACAGCAGATTGGTGGAAATGCATCAGATATCTCAGTGCAGCAGAGTGAAGGAACACTGGGACCAGCAAAGATACTGGCAGAACCCTCAGGCTCCCAGGGCTCCTTTTGTTTTTAACTACGCTGTAAAAATATTATATAATACTGTAACTTTAATAATGTCAAATATCCACAGCTGTTTATTGATAATCTGTTCTTCAGATGCACAGTATTTATGTTTATCTTTTATAATCATTTATTTTTAACCATGTTTTAATTAAAGCACTTTGTTCAGCTGTGGTTGTATTTAAGCATAAAACTGGATATGTTGATACTACATATTTATATAAATATTTTTAATACTTATTCTGTTCTTTTTATGCACTTTCTCAGCTCCTCATTGTGTGACCACCTTTGCTGTAACCTTTTGCTGCTATTGAAACAGATTTTCCCCACTATGGGAGAACAAAGGAGTTTCTAATCTATGTAGTGTATATCTGCGGTTTATTCACCAATGTCTTCAAAGCTCTGAATCTCTCCCTCCACCCGTGATGTCATCAGTCTGTAGATATAAACCAAACTGCGCTGCAGGGCTGAGGCATCCTGCTTCTCTGCTGCTTGAAGCAGCAGGTTAAGCCCGGCCTACACCGTTGGTTAGGGTTAGTTAGTTAGATTCTCAGGGCCATTTTCCAGTCGTGCGAGAATCTTTCAATCAGGCCAACTTTCAGCCTGATGGTGCGTGGTGAGCCTGTAGTGAACAGGGGGTTACGCGCGCCGCTCAGCCTCTCACTACCACCTCCCCATCAGGAATCGTGAGGTCCGACCGTTGTTGGCAAATGGCTCAGGGTGCAAAGAAGGATTCTTCCTCTCAGATGTAAACACAGCAGCATGGCGGGGGGGGCAATGAGTGAAATGCAGTTCTGACCTGGTAGCCATGTTTGTTCAGCCATGTCTTTTCTTCAAATACCTCTTTGCTTTTTTTTTTTTTTTGGGGCTATCGCACACAAAATTGCCCAAATATCCAAGGCAGCGCGTTTCCCTCTAGAGAGCTTCATATTCCTCTCCTACTCTCTTTCCTCTTCTGGATTAACGCATCAGAGCGGCGCCATCTCACCGCGGAGCGGAGTCAGACGTTCCTTTTAGTCGTACAGCGTGAGCAGGTAGATCGCATCAGAGCGGCGGGCCAAACAGAAATCCTGAGCTGTGAGCTCACACTGTACGACTAAACCGTGTGGTTCAGTGTACGTCCGGCTTTAGGGGAGCAGGTTGACCTCCCCAAGATGGCGGCTGTAATCCCTGCGCTGTTACAGTCAATGCGGGGTCTGTGGCTTTGATGGTGGAGCTCTCCATGTCTGGCCTGGTTTACGTTCAGCTCATCATCATCATGATGATGGCCGTTCAGCTGAAGGCAGCTTTAGATGATCTTTGGATGGCGGTTCAAACATGAGGTTAATAATCGTTGCTGGTCATCCTGCTGTGAGCAGAAATCACTGCATTCTAGAAAAGCAGTGAATCGACAGACAGAAGCAATCAAAGCCGCTCCATCAACCATCAACCACATTCATCCACCAGTGGGAAACGTTTACCACCAGAGTCTCAGGTCAACTATTAAACCGTGGGGAAAAAAACAAACCATTTCCATCCACTGGAGAGAATTAACCAGCAGCGTAACGGCGTCCTGTGATGAACAGGAAGTAGAGTAGCAGGTCAGTCATGGAGCGATGTTGAACATTGCAATCATGGAGGCTATATTTACTTGAACAGCTAGCGTTAGCGATGCTACCTGCCGTCCAGGCAGAGACTGGATTAATGTTCACATTCAGGAAACTGCTGATCAGCTGGAAGGTAAACGATCTTCCAGAACGTTCCTCTCTAACACATTCACCGGTTTAGGAAGAAGTAGAAACTTTTAGAGAAATGTAGTCAGTTGATTCAATATCCGTGTTTTCGTTCAGGCTCTTCTAATGTGATGGTTTAGAAATACGCCGTCTGCTGGTGACCCCCCCCCCTTTCCTCACAGATCAGTCTTCAGTTTCCAGCAGCATCAGACCCCATCAGTCTGTCCATGGTCAGATCCGTAGAGGAAAGCTGAGGTACGGAGGAAGAACAGGTGAATGTTTTTCTCTGCCTCATCAGAACTTTCCCACCTGAACTGTTAGGATCTATTTATTTATTATTGGAATAAAGACCAACTTCTCCTGAAGGTGACCTGCTCCAATCAGCAGTCAGGGTGAGAGCTGCTGGGACCAGTTCCAGACCTCCAACCTGATGGTCAGCAGGTACGGCGCCGAGACCCATCAGCTGTTTACCGCTGATAAAAATAGACAGACTGACCCACATCAGTCTGACCATTACTGAGACCAGACTGACGATAAGAGAGACTGAGGTCCATTTAAAGCGTCCAATCAGTGAGAGAGCAGAGGAAGCATGACGCCATCTCAGCCTCCATGGATCCACGAGCTTCACCACCCAACTGCTCATGACACCTAGCAAGACAACAGCAAACCAGCCCCACAGACAGTCTACCCGCAGACCGGCCTGACAGACAGTCTACCCACAGACCGGCCTGACAGACAGTCTACCCGCAGACCGGCCTGACAGACAGTCTACCCACAGACCGGCCCGACAAACGGTCCACCGGCAGACCAACCAGACGGTCGGTCTATCCCCAGACTGGCCCGAAAGACAGTCCACCCCCAGACCGACCGACCGGCCGGTCCATCGACAGACAGTTTACCCGCAGACCAACCCAACGATTGGTCTAGGAAAACACGCTCCGTGTGGATAGACCAACCGAGGCGTCAGTCTGATCATCAAACCAGGATTTAGTTGAAAAGGGTTCAAATAAAAAGGACATTTTTCCATAAAGGTCCAAACAGCATCTGTTTAAATCAATGTTTTCTCCATCATGTCTCTGATGATTGTTCCACTGATCAAACCAAAGCATCCACACATGTAAACACGGCTGTGACGGCTGGGAGTAGTGCTGAGGGATGGATGCTCTGGCTCTACTGGAGGACGAGGAGGAAAGGTTTTCAGTGACGGTCGTCCATATCAGCGATAACGGCTCCTCCATCAGCTGCTCTCCTGTAGCTCCTCAGATCAATCTGCTTCTAACCATCTATCATTGGACTGTTATTGTTATTAAACAGCCCTACTTCCCTTTCCTGGGTGTTTCCTCCTCTCGTCAGGCCGCCTCTGTAAATATCAACTTGTTCTTAATGACTTGCCTATAAAAATAAAAGCCTAATAAAACTGACTTATCAACGGGACTCTGGACTAAAACAGATTTCTTAGAAAGTTTTTGGGGGGGGGGGTGGCCTAGTGGTTAGAATCCTGAGGTTTAAACCCGACTCCCACAGCCTGACACTCTAGGACCCTGAGAATGACCCTTAACCCCACACTGCTCCCCGGGCGCCGCACAATGGCAGCCCGCTGCTCCCCAAGGGGAGGGGTTACATTTCTAATTATTATTATTATCATAAAATACTCACAACTTCCAAACTAAAAGTGAACTTTGTTTCTTCCAGGGGTTAATCAAAGTACACAGAGGTTACCATGGTAACTGCTGCTCTTTAAAGCAGAGGATGGAGCATCAGATGATGCTGGGGTCAGAGGTCGGCTACAGCTGTGACTCCATCAGAAAGGAAGCGAGGCATGAAACCATCCTAATGAGAGCTTCAACGTTCGTCACCAAGTCAAGATGAGCATCTGAGAACATGCTGCTTATTGTGAATAGATGCACCAGCAGAGGAACAATGGTGGCCGATTGCATCTGACCTCTGACCTTTCAGCCTCTATGATGACGCTTCGCTGCTGAGTGATGAATTATAGAAACTAAACATTCAAACCTCACAGAATAATAATAATAATAATAGAAGCTGATTTGTCTGCAGAGATACTTTAGTTTTATTGTTTTTATTTAATCTGCTGGTGTTTAAGAAGAGCCCAGAGCATGACAACTCCTACAGCCTCCTCTTTGCTTCTAGCAGAACCAGGCTGAATGAAAGGATGGATGCTAGGAGATACCTCCACACTTCCTGCTCCTGAGGAGCCACCAGAGGAGGAGGAGGTGCTGCTCCTCCTGAGGAGCCACCAGAGGAGGAGGAGCAGCCGCTCCTGAGGAGCCACCAGAGGAGAAGGAGCAGCTCCTCCTGAGGAGCCACTAGAGGAGAAGGAGCAGCTACTCCTCCTGAGGAGCTGGCGGAGGTTTGTCTGTTGAACCTCCGGGTTGGTCTCCTCCTGCTCCTCTCGTGGTTCTTTCCACTCTAAACCAATAATGCGTCAGAAAAACCCACGTCACGCCAACACGCCGCTGTCCGCCCCTATCAGAGCAGCCGTGGGCTGATCGAGTGGATCCGATCACCGGTGGGTTCTACCTCACGGCCTCTGACCGGTGAACAGGTTAGCCCGCATGCTAGCAGCTCCCCGCCGGTTACCGGAGGCTCAGCTTCCCGGGGAGCCGGACCGGCGGCTCCGCCACACCGACTGGACCGCAAAGATCCGGGAAACGTGACCGGAAGCCACGCAGCCTGTTTGTAATCAGGCTCCAACCGACGCGCGTGCGAACAGCCGCTAAGCTACAGCTAGCCGTTAGCTGCTAACAGCCAACGTGACTCACCAGCGGGTTCCAGCGTCTCCGCTCCCACCGCAGCAGGCGGAACAAACTCTGCCGCGTTCACGTTGGGAACAAACGGCTTGGCGTTGACGTTGAGGGCGGTGAAGGCCGCCTCCAGCCGCCCGTCCGCCGCGGCCTCGTCCTCCTGTTCCCAGGAATCAGGGGCCGTGTCTCTGGGGTCCATCGTGGCTCTTGGCTTGTGACTGAGTGCGGTCGGAGCTGCGCGGTTCTCGGTCCTGCTCAGAGTCTAACCCGCTCGGCTGCTCGGTCCTCCCTGGCTCCGCTGCTGCTCCGGTTCATATGAAGAAGACCCGCCGCTCCGCTCCGCTCTGCCGCTCCGGACAGGATCGACTCAGCACTCCCAGAGACTGTCCGCGTGAGCTACTCTGTGCCTTCGGTAGACCTGCTTGGCGCGAAGCATGCTGGGACTTGTGGTGTTTTAAGAAACCAGAGCCTCTTCAAAATGGAGGACATTTCAAAGTAATGAACTACATTTCCCAAAGAACAACAGCAAACGGCTCACGTCGGTAGATTATGACCTCATGACGCAGCAGATTCACCTACCGTCGCCCCCTATCGGTCTGAGGCTGATTTACTCTGCATGCGCTTCATTTCTAAAGATTTTTAATTAAAATATGCTCGATATTTAAAGGAAAAGTCCGTTTATGTTCAGAAATCAAACTTCTGAAAGTCCTTTAAACCTGAAATGATTCCATCCTGTTCAATAAATGATCAGTGGCCCCCAGGAACTTGGGGCGCTAGACAGCTGCCTAGTATTGCCTAATTTTAAATCTGCTGAAATCTCAGCAGAATTCAACAAGTTAAAACAATGGATTAACAATAATAAATTATCAGTCAGAATTTCTAAAACTAAGATTATTATTTTAGGCAAACGACCCAAAAATACTCAAGTAAATGTTAAACAATAATAATACTGAGAGAGTGAATGAAGATGCGTTACTGGGCGCATTTTCACACTGCTCACACGTCAGCACACAAGAAAATCTACTGTATGCAGCGCAGGAGATAAAATCCAACATAAACTGTAAATCAGACTAATAACAATTTTTCTTGATCATTTAGAATTGCATTTAAGAGTTTTGGATGAATATGTTTAATAAAAACCAAGGAGGGAAGGCTCATATATGAGGATCATTTAACTGGTTTCTAACAGTCCTGCTGTCCAACATGCACTCAGAAGATGAGCCTGTTCACTGTGCAGCGCGATGACCTGCAGGACATTTTGTTTCTGTGTTTTTGCTAAATTCAAGCACATGAATAAAAAAAATATA